CACCCCCTCCCTGGGCCCTGCCTGGCTGTCTTCATGAAAAAGAGTGGAAGCAGCATTTCTCCAGGGAGGTACCAGGATGAAGAGACTTGGGGAGACGCAAGGGCACTGGCGTTGGGGGGTGTAGGGGGTGCTGATCACTGATCAGAGGCCTGGCCTCCAGGATCTTTGTGGGGGCGGCTGGAGTGAAGGAAGGTAGACCATCCAAGCCAGAGCAAGACAGAGTGAAGCAGGACATTGAAGAGCCTGAGACCTCTGCTCTCCCTCTCTGCCAGACGGAGACTTCCTGGAAGGCCTCCAGCTTTCTTGGGAAAGCTCTTCACCCCCACCGCACCTCCCCTCTGGCTCCCACACAACAGGAACACTCCTTGAAGAAGGGACCCGGAGCAGAAGAAACAAAGACACCTCTGTACCACCTCTGTTCTCCCCCTGAAAGGATGAGGGGTAGTTAGGTCAAGGTGACCCCACTTTTTTCTCCCAGGGTGGGACCATCAACAGGACCTTCTTCCTGATCTTCCAAGGCAGGCTAGAATCCCGACTTGGAATAATTCCTCCTTTCCTCCATAAACTGAACCCACCTGCCTGGAATGCAGAGGTCACACTGCCTCAGGGCAGTGGCAGAGGCACCAGCAGTGGTGAGACAGAGGTGTGGCGCCCTGCGCCACAGAACAGCACAGGTTATGGGCTGGCCCAGCCCACGGAGGCATCTTTGCGCTGTGGGTGTGCGCTGGGGCGGAGGGAAGCCGAAAAGCTTGTGCTGCACCCTGCCCACTGGGCTGGGTAACTTGGATTCTGGTGCCAGCTGCGCACTCAGCGGCCAGAAGTCTCGGTCAGGTCTCATTCCTGGACTGATCCCAGGGCTTGATGCCGGCCTGCCCATCCTGAAGGTTGTTACTCCGTGACATGTGTGAGTTTGTACATTACAGTGCCACAGTTTGCTTCCCAAGGGTGCAGGGCATGCCCGTTGCAGACCAGGCCAGGGCTTGCTCTTCCCAATCAACTGTGGTCAGTCTTCCCTGGGGGAAGGCGTTCATTCCTTTAGGCTTTTTTAATGCCTCCCCACCCTGTTCAGTGCTGCCACTTGGAACTGGGGGTGAGAGGAAGCCTGGGGACCTGGCTCAATCCAGATCCTTGGCAGATTCTCATCTCCTGAACCCCATCCTCTAGACTGTTTTCTCCTCTCTAGTCTGGGCCCCTAAAACCACCAGGGTGCTTTGTGGTGGGAAATAGCAGAGACCAAACCAGGGGACTGAAAGCAAAAAGAAACCCCAAATTTGACATTTCCGGGTAGTTGTGTTATCCGGAGCCCTGACCACAGTCACCTCTGCCCCCAACCCAACTCTGACATCCTTCCCTCCTCCACTCTCTTGGGTGGCCTTTGGCCATCCTGGGAAAGCTCCAGAGCTCCTCCCCTCCCCACTGCCTCCCAAAAGAAGGACAGAGGCTCAAAGAAATGGAAAGGAACACAGACAGAACCAGAGAGAGACCTAAAGAAAAAGAATCAAGAAGGAGAATCCAAAAGCAGGAGCAGAAAAGGCAGTGCAGAACCTTGGGGTCCGGGGCCTCACCAAGAGGCCAGATGGGTAGAGAGCCGGGGTGGCGGGGGGCGGGGGGAGCAGCGGGGGATTGCTGCCACCAGACACAAGGTGTGTGTGAGAGAGAAGACACAGGGTCTTCAAAAGCCCTGGGCACACCCTTTCATGTCAGGAGCTCTGGTTTTGTTCATAGCATCTCAATGCTAGTTTTCAGGGAGGACTATTCATTCCCTAGCCAAGCCCGGCCCAGATGTTTGGTGGGTGGGGCTGCCAGCTGAAGGGGCTGGGGAGAGCCTGGAGAGGCAGGGGCCTGGAAATGGATGGAGAGGGCCTCCACTCGAGCAGGGACCCCAGGCCAGCCCCTCCCGGTAGCCCACTGTAGGGGTACCCCAAGAGTTGACCTCTGCCCTGCAGTCCTGGCTTGCAGAGCTTGGAAACCCAGAGAGCCTACTCCTGCCAAGGGTCTTACACACCTGCTTGACGTGAGAGCTGGAGAGCACAGTGTGGTGTGGGTTTGGAGCTCCCACTGACAGACTGCACGTTATCAGCCAGGACGCTGCTCTCTAGCCTCTGTTCCCCACGTGTAAAGTCATTGCAGCTGCTTCCGTGCTGATTCCTTCTTTATTTCAAGATTTATTTATTTATGCACGCAAGAACTGGGGTACAAGCCAGAGGTGCAGGGGTGAAGGGAGTCACCAGTGGCAGAAGGGGGAATAGAACAGGTGGATCTTCTGAAATACACTGCTGAGGGGAGCAGCAGGCGAGCAAGGAGAGGTCTGCTGCTTCTCATGGGTCACCCCCCTGGCAGGGGATAGAACTCTGGCTGCAGTGGCTGTGGACAGCTCTGTAGATCTGTGTTTAACTCCTCCTGCCACCAGGGAGGCCCTCCCAGTGCTGATTCTTGACCCATTCCAGGTGACCCTCCAGCTATACGTGTCTGACCATCCTCTGACAAGCTATTTGCACAGATGGGGGAAGAAGGAAGGGAAAGGCATTGTGCCCCCCCAAGACCCCTGCAGAACAAGCCAGAGGCAAGTTCCCCCAGCCTTTCAGAACCCCCTTACAGTTTTCGATTCCTTTCCTTGTCATCTTGCCAACTGAGAGACAGCGACCACATATGGAAGTGGGAGTGGGGTGGTGGGAGGGGACCCAGACATTCCACCTCCTGCAGCCTTAAACTTTGGTTTTTCTCTGAAGCACACACACAGAAAAAGAATGAAAGTGGGGGAGGTGATGAGGGGGAAGAATGGAGGGCGAGGGGGTGGGGGAGGGAATGGGGAGAAGTCAGATCTAAGAAGGAATGAGGGAGGAAGGGAGAGGAATATGACTCCCCTACACACAGAGCCCTACAGAACAGTGAACACACACACACACACACACACACACACACACACAGGCCTTGGCCCCGCTGAGCTGTGAGTAGCCGCCAGGCTGGCCCCTCCCCTAACGCTGCCAATACCAGCTGCCAAGCAGAGGGGAGGCCCAGAGGAGAGGGAAGCTGGGCAAAGGGGATGGAAGGTTTCCAGTCCAGCGGTGCCCAACTCCACAGTCCCAGGAGGGGATCTAGAAATGGGGTGGGGGGAGCTGCCTCCAGGCAAGGCTCAGGGGAGAAGTCCCTGCTGTGGCCAGGAATCCTGGGCTTGAGGTTTCAAGACAGCCCCTCCCTGGACTCGCTCAAGGTAGCGTCAGCCAGATGTGTCTGGGCTGGGGGACCGGCAGAGTGCAGGGTCACTTGCCCTAGTCTGTCTGCTGGACCGTGTGTCCTGGGGGACTCTGGCCGGCCTTTTTCTTCTCAACATCCATTTCTTATCTGCAAATGTTCAGGGGTGGGGGAGGCGAAACAGTTGCTTAGGTTCTTTTCTGTTTCTACCTAGAGGGTTTGTGCACAGGCGGTGGGAGGAATGGAAGGAGGGAGGTGGGGCTCTCCGGTGAGCTGGCTTCTCTGGAATCCCCAGCCTGTCCCCCTCCCTAGGACGTGGCCTGTGAAGTCACAGAAACTGGGTCCGCAACCCACATAAACTCAAACACGCACACACATTTAATGTTTTAATCCACACTCAAAAGATGACAAACGCCAGCGCTGGGACGCATCTCCAGCTAGCGCAACCCTACCCTCCTCTCCTTTTGCAGAGGAGAAAACTGAGGCCCAGGCTCGGGATTTCCAGAGCCCGGGATTTCCCTGCCCTCCCACCCCCATCCTCCGGCCACTCCATAGCTTCTAGCCCTGCACCGTCAAGGGCAGCTCTGCCCGGCTGCAGGCGAGAGTTGGCTGGGACTCCCGGAGCGGGGGACCCCGCCGTCGGGGGCAGCCCCCACGCCGGGCGCCGCCCAGCCAGGCCGCCTGGGGCCGCGGTCTCGGCCGCCGCTGCGCACTCGCCAGGGAGCCTGCGGCCGAGGGCGGAGGCTGGGAGGGGTGTTGGCGAGAGCTCGCGCGCTGTGTATGGTCTATCGGAGGCAGCTGACCTTTGAGGAGGAAATCGCTGCTCTCTGCTCCTTCCTGTAGTAACAGCCGCCGCCGCCGCCTGGAGCCCGGGCCCGAGCGAGAACCGCGGGGCGGAGAGCGGGCCCCGCCGCCGGTCGGCTCGGCTGGATCAGGTGGGTGGGTGGGCAGCGGCCCGGCGCCGCGCACGGACAGCGGGCATCGACTTCTGTCCGGACCCCACGCCCGGGGCCCCGAGGCCCGACGGTCGGCCCGGGTGCAGCGAGCGGTCTCCAGGACCGAGTGCGAGTTTGGGCACAGGGCGGACGAGGGACGAGGCGCACTGATGGACCGAGGGGGTCGAGGACGGGAGGCATCCTTGCCCGCAGTGGGCAGGGGGCGCTGTCGGGCTGGACAGTGGGAGACCTTGGGCCACAACTGGGGGGCGCAGTCGGAGAGGGGCAGAGGAGGGCTCCCAATCCTGGCTCCTTAACAGCCAGAACCACGTGCCCCCGGGACCCAGCCGTCCAGCCGAAGCCGCTAGCGGCGTTTCCCTAACTTTGGCCTGGAATATCCCCACTTCCCAGAAATTGGGAGTTGGGGCTGGAGGCAGGTTAGGGGGATTCTTGCAGCCCTTTCCAGGGGACCTATGGGGCTCCACCGAGTTTCTCTTTCAGTTTCTAGCCGTCCCCCCCTCTGGGGAAGCCCCGGTGGGGCGAGGGGAGAGGAAGAGGGGGAGGGCAACTGACTTTCGAGAGCCCCTCCCCAAGCCTCAGCGGGTTCCTTTTTGGAGGGAAGGGCGGCCTTCCCCTCCACACCATCTTTCTTCCCGCACAGGAAAGTGAGTCTGTGGAAAGGGAGGGGCCTGGCTTGACTGCGGTCCAGGGATGGGTGGGCATGGCCGGGCCAGGGCAGGCCCAGCCGGCTCTTGTGTGGAGGAGGCACCTCTTTGAGCCTCTGCTGGCCCTAGGTGAATGTCATGGCGCGCTGGATCCAGGCCCAGCAGCTGCAAGGAGATGCCCTGCGCCAGATGCAGGTGCTGTATGGGCAGCACTTTCCCATCGAGGTCCGGCACTACTTAGCACAGTGGATTGAGAGCCAGCCCTGGTAGGTGTCCGGCCCTGCCCCTCCTCGCTGTCCAGGTCCCTACCCTTTAGGTCTTTGTGGTTCCACGAGTCTGGTCTGTCTGCCCCTCTCTGTGAGGAAGGGGCATGGGCAGTGTCCCTGGGAAAGGGAACAGGGAAATGGGAGTCTGGGAGGGGAGAAGGGATGCGTCTAGACCGATGCCTGTGGAAGTGCCAGGAACAAGCCTCGTGGCTCTGGAGCGCACTTAGTCACAAGCCTGGGATTTCCCTGTCCCTTGACGCCTGACTGCCTTGTCCAAGTAGGTTCTCTCCCCAACCCTGCCCCAAGGGATGCCATCGACCTGGACAGTCCCCAGGACCGAGCCCAGGCCACCCAGCTCCTGGAGGGCCTGGTGCAGGAGCTGCAGAAGAAGGCGGAGCATCAGGTGGGGGAAGATGGGTTCTTACTGAAGATCAAGCTGGGGCACTACGCCACCCAGCTCCAGGTGGGTGCAGCTGGGCCCTCCACAGGAAAGCGGGGTCTGCCTTTCTTTCCAGCATCAGAACCCCTGGTATTTTCCTGGTCACTGACTCACCATGTGACCTTAAGTTTGTTGGCAACTTTTCTGTGCTTCAACTTCCCCCACCCCCTCTTTTTAAATCAGACCTGTCAGATTCTCTTGGTATTTTATGAAGCGAGCAATGAGGTATGTTTGTGCCCGAGTCAGTGGCATTTTGAACTGACCAAGCAGAAGGGACAGAGGTAGACTGAATCAAGATTCTTTTTGTGGAAGAAGGCAGATGGACAGATTCTAGAAAGGAGATATATCTCTTGGGGTGAGACATATCTCTTGGGGTGAGACATATCTCTTAAAACTCGGAGACCTGCAGAAGTAAGGGGGCACAGGAGCTCTAGAGGCAAGAGCTGGATGAAGGTCCCCGAATGAAACATTTGTTGGGTTATCGGAAGTCATGAAGTATTTCCTCTATGTTTTTCTTTTTAAAGATTTATTTATTTATGCATTTAAGACCTGAGGTATAAGCCAGAGATGTGGGGGTTGAGAGGTTTCGCCAGAGACAGAATGGGGAGCAGAACAGGCAGATCTACTGAAATACACTGCTGAGGGGAGCAGTGGGTGAGACAGGAGAGGTCTGCTGTGCCATGTGAGTCAGCTCCTTGACCAGGGATTGAACTCATGCTGCAGTGGCTGCAGTGGCCACAGTTTCATAGTGCTGCACCTTAACTCCTTGTGCTACCAGGGAGGCCCCCTTTTCTATGTCTTTCCAGCAAAAATGCATCATGGCTTTTCTGACATAAGATGCAGTTTCTCCTTTACATGGAGTAGGACAGGAGGATAGGGGAGAGAGAGAAGGTTTTTGTGGAAGCAGGAGTGGGATGTAGGTGATCAAACATTTACTGGAACTTACTTGTCTTTCTTAGAGTGTCTTTAAATACAAGTAGTCCTGTGTCAGGGAAATGAAAAGCTGACCACAGGAAAAGGAGGAAACAGGAGAAAGCTGGGCGGAAGAGGGAAACAAAATAGGAACCCAGGGCCAGGAGTATGATGGAAAGTACCTTGACCTTGGCATTTGATGCTCTGAGTCTTGAGTCATCTGTTCGCTCACTTGTTTGTCTCCTGACAAGTACTCAGCCGCTCTCAGAATTAGTTTTCTCATCTGTGGAGTGGGAATGATAACATTACTTATGTTGTGGGTTTTCTGTGTTGTGAACGTCAAAGAAGCTGGCAGATTGCAAGTGCTTTGTAAGCTGTGGGTTTCTAACACACTGCCAACCACATGTGCAGGTCTGGGAGGGGAAGTCAAGTCAAGGAGAGATAGATGTATCATACCGGTGACCGTCTTGAGGCTTCCTGGAGAGAGCAGAGGCGGGTCTCGAGGGTGGCAGTGCACCGTGACGGGTGTGCTGGGAGCAGGGGTGGCCCCCTGGCAATTGCTGTTGGATTCTTCCAGAACACATATGACCGCTGCCCCATGGAGCTGGTCCGCTGCATCCGCCACATCTTGTACAACGAGCAGAGGCTGGTCCGAGAAGCCAACAACGTGAGTGTCCGTGGGCCCGGGCGGCTTGGGCAGGCCTCCCTGTACCTTCCTCTGCAGGTACAAGTCTTTTCCCAACACTGGCATAAAGAGAGCGCCAACAATGAAGAGACATGGCACTGTGAGAGACAGTCTCAAAGACAGGTGTAGGGTGACCCCCCGCTCAGCCCCTGGCTCTGCTACCTACTAACTGTGTGACTTGAGCAATCTTAAGCTCTCTGAGTCTGTTTCTTTGATTGCAAATGGCAAGTGTAATAGGTCTCACATTGCTGGAATTTTATGAGGATCAAATATGTACAGGGATAGACAAATAGACCCATGAAGGAGAAGAAACTTTAAACACACACACACACACACACACACACACAGCTGGAAAAGTCAATCTATGACCAAGTTTCCATCCTAAGTCACCAGGGAAAACATTTGTCAATAAGTGGGGCTGGGGTCAAAATAACAAATGTTCTCTGGTGGAGCCTATGAGGAGAAATGGGCTGTGTTGGAAGAACTAACTCTGGCAAACACAGAGAAGGGGACCCCAGGGAGGAAGAACAGGTTCCAAAATTGCAAAGACACAGAACAGCTGGTTGGCCAATCATGCCGTTGTTCTCTGCAATAAAAAAAAATGAATTTTATTAATTGTATGTCATAGATAAAAATCATATAGTGCCTGGAGCATAGGCTAGATTATTCATTTATTGCTGGGGACACTGATATTTTAGGAATGTTAGTTTATTCAGTGAACATTTATGGAGGTTCTGCCATACAGCTGATGCTGGACTAGAACTGAAGAAGCAGATCAAGTCCTGGTCCCCTCCCAAAAGGCACCAGGGAATGGTAGCTTCTCTAAGCGGTAAGTTGGACGAGATAGAAAAAAGTACCCCACTCAGACTGGCGGGGTGTCTGGAGGAAAGAGGTGTCAGAACTACAGTAGCGAAAGGAAGGAAGGAAGAAGGATGAGTTCTGAGCCAAAGTCACGGTGGGGGCAGGGCAGGAAGGCCTGCACATGTCATCACACTGAAGGCGTGTGAGTAGTCAGCGCACCCAGGGAAGCCTGGTAGGCAAGGGCAGAGGGGGGACTGGAGCCAGGTCACAATTGGCCTTCTAGTACCACTTTGAGTTCCTTGACTTGGTCATCACAGAGCCACCTGTCAAGGTAAGCATAAATTCCATTCCAGTACAGAAAGACATGTCTACGACACAGGTATTGTGGATTGTGGTCAAGGAGTCTCTGCTTCTTCCAGCCTGCAAGTTTTGTTTTTTTTTTTTTTTAAAGATTTGTTTATTTATACAAGAAGTAGGGTGTAGGGCAGAGGTCTGGTGGTTGTGAAAAGATTCACCAGAGACAGAGTCGTGAGCAGAACAGTCAGATCTAGTGAAAGATACACTGCTGAGGCGAGCAGCAGGCGAGACAGAAGCTGTGCTGTGGACAACTTCATAGTGCTGCCTTTAACTCCTGTGCCACTGCAGAGGCCCCAAGCCTGCAAGCTTTCTGGTCTCCTCTGATCTCCTTGAAATCCTGGGGATGTCGTGATACATAAGACAGACAAGGGCCCATATCCAAGGCTAGGGAGCAGACAAAGCAGAAGGAAAAGCAGCAAGACACGTTTGAATAAGGGGGAGTGCTGTTATAAATTGGCCCACTAGAGAAGGCCACCCTGAAAGTGCCGGTTGATGAGTCAGCCTCAGGAAGATTTGGTACCAGAATGTTCCAGAGTGATAGAGCACCAAGTGGAAAGGCCCCGAGGCAGGAACAGGCTGTGTGTTCAAGGGACAGAAAGTAGAGAGTGTGTTTGGGCACAGTGGAGCTGGGGTGGAGGGAGGCAGAGGCTGTCACTGGGGCAGGGAATGCTGCGGAAAAGACTTTGGATTTCATTCTGAGAACGTTCGTTGGGAAGGCCTGAGACAGCCCTGTCCTGTCAGGTGTTAAGGAATGGAACAGCCAAGACCCTTACATGGCTGGATCCACCAAGGCCTGGGGGTGCCCCCCCCTTTACTTCATTCTGGCGTCTCTAGACACTGCCTGTGAGAGGTTCACCCTCCCCCCTCAGTCACAAGCCGGTCTCCAGAGTGGACAGTGTGTTCCCATTGTTCCCCTCTGAGTCCCAGCTTCTGGCACATCTGTGATCCTGGTCAGTGAATGTGAAGTGTGGGGTGGGCACCATTGGCAGGAAAACCCAGGGAACTCCGGCACTTGTTGAGTTCTGGTTGCTGCAGGGAGAGTGTGGGTGAGCCCTGTTTGGGGTCCTCTGCTGGAGGCTGACTCTGCACAGGTATTTCTGCCGTGTTCTGTGACGGGGTGTCATCTGCCAGCTCACCTGTCTGCTCTACCCAGTTCTCACAAGCCGGGTTTGCAATTCCGCTGACTCGAACTTTAGGGACAGGTTCCGGCGCTGGCTTTTCCTCTGGACTAGGGCTGCAGCGCTGTCCCGCCCTCCGGGCCCACTCACCGCGCCTGCGCTCTCCCCCGTCTGTGTCCAGGGAACTGCTCCAGCCGGGAGCCTTGTGGACGCCATGTCCCAGAAGCACCTTCAGATCAACCAGACTTTTGAGGAGCTGCGGCTGGTCACTCAGGACACAGAGAATGAGCTGAAGAAGCTGCAGCAGACGCAAGAGTACTTCATCATCCAGTATCAAGAGAGCCTGAGGATCCAGGGTGAGGCTGGTGCAGCGGGGAGTGAGTTGGAGGAGAGAGTGAGGCCACTCTGTGGGGTGGCGTCTATAGATCTCCCAGCACTTCACAGGAAGTGTAATGTCTCTTAGTGATTAAGCCCCAGCTGGGGCCAGGTTCTAGATTTATCCCTTTGCATGAATTATTCAATTCGACCTTGACAACAGCTCTAGGAAGTAGATAGCTCTCTTATCCCTATTTTGCAGATGGTAAAACTGAGGTTAAAAGAGAACAAATATTTTGGTGTAGATGGCTTATAAGTCATGTAACTGGATCTTAACTAGAGATAACATCCTAAGATCTCTTTACTAACTAGTGTTCTCTCCCTGATTGTAGGTATTCAATGAGTAGCTCAATGAATGAGTGACTGAATGTGGATAAAGTGTCCCCTAATCAGAGGGGAAGCGGTATAACTCTGGAAATGTTCCTTCTTGACCTCATTCACTGAAAGGAGGTAGAGTTGAGAGGTGAAAGTGACAATGGAAAGTTTTCCTGTCTATAGTTTTCCAAGAAATGCCATGATAAGGGTGTGAGTAAAGGAAGATTGGAGGGAGCTAACTCCATGTGCAATTTGAGGAGTCTTAGAACATGGCCCATCTTGTTCCCACTCCAGGCTGTACTACACCAGCCTAAGAAAGATAGGAGTGTCAGGCCACCTTTTACTTTGCTCTTCTGACATCTTCAAACTTAGGTCATTGAATTTAAGTCTTTCATTTCTAATATATATTCAGGGCTATTAATTTCCCTCTCACAATGTTTTAGCTACACATGACTTTACATATATGGTATATTCATCATCATTCAGTTTAAAATAGTTTCTAATTGTTCTTCTCATTATTTCACCTAAACATTTTTAGAAGTGTATTTGAGAAGTTTCATTTACAAATATTTGGTTTTTTCTAGATTTAATATTGTTATTGATTTCATTTTCATTCCATGATTGCTTTTCGTTGCTTCAGAGAACATATTCTATTCGATTTCAGTTCTTCTTAAATGAATTGAGACTTGTTTTACAATCCCTCACCTGCTGTATCTGGGCAGTGGTTCTTATGTATTTGAAAAGAATGTATGTTCTACAAGTGTTTCACTCAAAAAAAGCAGTAACAAAATCAATGTAAATATGAAAGGTATAGTTTAAAACACACACACACACCAACACTCTTATTTTCCAGTACAAAATTTAGTGAGTAGAGTGACTTTGTTCTACATTTTTCAAACCTCTTTAGTGTTATACTTAATAGGGGACAGCTGTAGAAAACTGCACTGTATACTTGTAACAGATAAATAGAGAAGGTAAATAAGGTTTTGTGACCTTGTGAAAATAATTTTAACTCTTGGATTCCCCTTAAGGGCCTTGGGGACCCTGTAGGATGATCCCCAATCCATATGTTGAGAAACTCTAATCTGTGTCTTTACTCATTTTTTACCTAATTGTTCTATTAGTTTTTGAAAGAGAGTTATCAAAATCTCCCATTATATTGTACAATTGTGTACTTCTATTATTACACAATTATTTCAGTACATATTTCCTTTATGTATTTTGGAGCTTTGTTATTAGATTCATATAGATTTATGATTATATGTCTTCCCAATTGATACCTTATTAACTAAGAAATATCTTTTTTGATCTCTAGTAATACTTTTTACTTGAAGTCTATATGGTATTAACATAAGGGTTCTAACTGTAGCCCTAGCTAACATAGCATATCTTTTATTCATTTTTATAATAGTTTATTTTTACATATTTTTGTGCATTTTTCCATTTCAGTTGCAGTCCCCTTGAGTTTCCCATCACCAAATCACCCTTATTCATATTTTTGCTAAAACTTAAACTGCAAACAACATATAGCTGAGTCTTGCTTTTGTATTTATTCTCACAATCTCTACCTTTATTGAAGTGTTTATTTCATTGACATTTAACATAATTTTTATTAGTACAGTTACAGTGAGGTCTACTATGTTTTATTTAGTTTCTGTTTTGTGCCTTCTTAGTTTTTTTTAACAGCTTTTTTGTCAAGATTTATTTTATTTATTTATGCATATAAGAGCTGGGGTGCAGGCCAGAGGTGTGGGGGTGAGAAGATTCACCAAAGACAGAGTGGACAGAAGAACAGATGGGTTGGCTGAAATATACTACTGAGGGGAGCAGAAGGCAAAACAGGAGAGGTCTGCTGCACCCTGTGGGTCAGCTCCCTGGCTGGGGATCGAACTCATGCTGCAGTGGCTGCAGATAGCTTCATGGTGCTGAGACAGGGTTCTGTCCCTTCTTAGGGGTTGTTCCTCTTGTTCTCCTTTTTTCATTCTGATATCTATTATTTAAAGCTGCACTTACAGCTCTCTTTTAACTGTCCTGTTTAAGCTTTCCTCCTCACCCTGCCCTGCCAGTGTCTCTCTTACTTGGGTAATATCACATTGCCTGAATCCAGTAGGTGCTGAGTAGTAATCCTACTGTGTATTGCTCCCATTGTAATGTACCCTGGACTGACCCCAGGTTCCTACATTAGGAAACAGAGATTTCAGACTATTTTCTCTGCCTAAGGTGTTTGACTGGTTGATGGAATTGATGATTTTATTCTTGGGTGTTCTGTTTCCTATTTATGGACTTAGGTTTGGAATCTAGCTAAGGGTTGTGCTCATGATGCTATGTAAATTTAATCTCATTTATCAACAACTGGAAGAACAGCCTATTGATATGTTTGTGCAAGGGAAGACTCATTTCCCTCCAGTGGAGCAAACAGTTGCTTCATGTCTCCTGGCTTCCTCCCCAGAAGTTTTTGCAAATTGCCAGGAGAGACCTAAGTGGGTCATCTTGCATGGAGATTTGGGGTTCAGGTGTTGGTATCACCACCACCTCTCTGTGAGGGCAGGATTCCCCATGTGCTTGTCTAGATCACCCCACTGTGTTCTCAGCTGGACAATATTTAACCTGCTCAGGCCCTACAGTGACATTAAAACCATATTTCTCACCCTTTTTTCTGGGCATTTCTAGGAAGAGCTGGACTTGCTTTTGTCTGTCCTAGCTTGTGCGTCCGCAGAGCAGGGTCTGGGTCAGTGTGACATGGCTTCAGAGGCCTGCCAGGAGTTTACCAGGCCATGCTGACGCTCACAGCCTCCTGACTCAGCCTTGCTTGCAGGCCATTTAGAAAGGTCACCGGGCAAAGCATTTAGGACACCAGAGAGCAGAATGGGTTTGCGAGCAGGGGACGGTGCACAGGCGGCCTCCGCTCGGAAACGCTTGGCTTCTTAGGCGGGGTCGGTGGCACAGGTGTTCCTTGTGTGACTCTCTCCGTGTGCCCTATGACCTAAGTGTCTCTTTACAGACATTTTGGAAAGGGCATGGAAGCCACACCGACCACCTATCCCCGCCTCTGATGGGATTCCTGACAGCTGGTGTGGAGAGCGGCTGCCTCCCTCCACCCTCACTTTCCTGAGAGTCTCGCTGCTGTGGGTCCCAGCGGGCCCGGGCTCTCTGTCTCCCCGGTTGGTGTGTGAGCGCACACAGCCCCGGCCTGCACAGGCCTGTCCGGTGAACCCCTCTTCCCCGAGAGGGGTGCGGTGGTCCGGGAGTCGGGGCGCAGGCGGCAGAGGGCCTGCCCCGAGGAGACGCAGCTGGGTGAGGTCGGGGCAGCTGCTGTGCCTACCCTGGCCTCTCCCGTGGCCCCTGAGCCCATCAGGACTAACTCTTACATAGACCTTACCTGTGCCGGGAGTTTCTTGGACACTTCCCGTGACGTCAGCTGCTGCTCCTCATAGCGGGCGCCCGAGGCAGGTGCCATGATTCCCCAGCTTTACACGCAGGGAAACCGAGGCACGGGCGAGAAAAGTGGTTTGCCTGAGGTGACCCAGCCAGGAGACGGTGAGGGCACAAGGCTCAGTAGGCCACGTGGCTCCAAGCTGGACATTGTGAGGAGGGCTGGGCAGCCAGTGTGTGTTTGGGGGGGAAGCCACGGGCAGGATCCTCTCAGCTGTGCCACAGGCTTCCACCTCCTCCCTGGAGGGCAGCTGAGAGTCGGGAGGCCAGCAGCAGGCCTTCTGGCCGCTGCACCTCGGCCCACAGACGCTGACGTGCCCCGAGAGGGTCTTGCTCCAGGAAGATGCGTGTGGCTTCCCGCTGGATGACAGTGTGGGTGTCTGTCCCCTCCTCTAGCTCAGTTTAGCCAGCTGAGCCAGCTGAACCCCCAGGAGCGTCTGAGCCGGGAGACGGCCCTGCAGCAGAAGCAGGTGTCCCTGGAGGCCTGGCTCCAGCGCGAGGCGCAGACGCTGCAGCAGTACCGCGTGGTGAGTGGGAGCTGCGGCCTGCCCAGGCCTGGAGGGCCACGCCCCGAGCTGCGTGGGGCCCCGGAGAGGGCGGGGCCCCGAGGGGGGCAGAGCCCTTCCTTCTTTGCTGTGGGGGCTGTGGGGCAGAGCAGGGGGGCCGAGGGGTGCCGGGGCCTGGCCCTGCCTGCAGAGTGAGCCAGCAGGCCTGTCCCCTGCTTCCCTCAGGAGCTGGCGGAGAAGCACCAGAAGACCCTGCAGCTGCTGCGGAAGCAGCAGACCATCATTCTGGACGATGAACTGATTCAGTGGAAGCGGCGGCAGCAGCTGGCCGGGAACGGAGGGCCCCCCGAGGGCAGCCTGGACGTGCTGCAGTCCTGGTAAGGGGCTGGGGGAAGCGGACGGGAGGGGGTGGCGGGGCGGGCAGGCACCCAGGGGTGCTTCCGGCCGGCTCCCCCTGACCGGGACGGTCCTGTCCCCGGTGGTGCTGCTTCCCGAGGTGGACTTCGGTGTCCGCACCTTGTCACCTCCCCAGGGTCGGCGTCACTGCTGGTGAAGGGAGCAGGGCCCGGCTGTTTGGACGCTGACCAGGGCCCCTCCTCCTGGCCCCTTCCCTGTCCCTGGAAGGCGGGGCGTGTGCTCCGCTCGCTGGGTGGCTCAGAGAGGCAGCCGAGGCGCCAAGCCTTCCCGGTGGGGCTGCAGTTGGGCCTCATCTCGGGGTTCTCTCCCGACTGGGAAGCTCCCAGATTCGGCCTGGGGCCTGGACAGAGGGAGCCGGTGACCTTCCCGTTGGCCTTGGGGCTCCATGCAGGTGTGAGAAGTTGGCCGAGATCATCTGGCAGAACCGGCAGCAGATCCGCAGGGCTGAGCACCTGTGCCAGCAGCTGCCCATCCCCGGCCCGGTGGAGGAGATGCTGGCGGAGGTCAATGCCACCATCACAGACATCATCTCAGCCCTGGTGACCAGGTGACGGCCGCCTCTCGCCCGTGCCCCGCAGGCGGGCGCAGCCCCATGTGGACGGTGTCGGGGTGGTGGGGGCAGCAGGTGGGAGCCCAGAATTGTCTCCGCCTCGTGCGCTCACGCCCCCCGGGCCCCGCTGCCCAGGCTGCTGGGTGTGGCCCCCCCAGCCCAGGCCAACCCAGGCTGGCTGCTGGGTTCCCGCCGGGCCTGGCCCCCCTCCCTGCCGCCCCCTCCTCCCGCCGAGCCCCCGCGGGAGGGGCCGGGGAGGCCGTCCCCTGAGTGCCTCCTGTGTCCCCACAGCACCTTCATCATCGAGAAGCAGCCCCCCCAGGTCCTGAAGACCCAGACCAAGTTCGCGGCCACCGTGCGCCTGCTGGTGGGCGGGAAGCTGAACGTGCACATGAACCCGCCCCAGGTGAAGGCCACCATCATCAGCGAGCAGCAGGCCAAGTCGCTGCTCAAGAACGAGAACACTCGCAAGTAGGTGTGCCCCCCCTGCGGCACCGCCCCGAGCCAGGCACCTGACCGTCCCGGGGCCTGTCCTGTTGATGGGGACAGTGTGGCCTCCCCCACGGCCCACTTCCTCCAGTCTTTTCCTGGAAATCTGCATTCCCTCGGAAGTTGCGCCACCCCTCTGTAGGCAGTGTTGCCGCTTCTGACTTTTTGGTGCTCAGAGCAGGAATACTAGGGGTTGTTCTGTAAGAAGTTAAATGTACATTCTGCCCTGTGCACTGAGTTTCTCTGTGGGTTGAGAGCTCAGTTGTCTGTCTCGCAGTGACTACAGCGGCGAGATCTTGAACAACTGCTGCGTGATGGAGTACCACCAGGCCACCGGCACCCTGAGCGCCCACTTCAGGAACATGGTGAGAGCGAGCGAAGAGGGAGAGCCCATGTTCTCGCTAGTCTCTGGGGGCTTCCTCATCCTCTCGTTCACCTTCGCAGTCCCTGAAACGAATTAAGAGGTCTGATCGTCGTGGAGCCGAGTCAGTGACAGAAGAGAAATTTACAATCCTGTTTGAATCACAGTTCAGTGTTGGTGGAAATGAGTTGGTTTTTCAAGTTAAGGTAAACATCCCCTCCCCGCTCAGCTGTGTTATGTGTTTATATCACAAAAGAACTTTTGGAACATTTTCTATTGTGATGAACAGAAAGTGGGGAGACCTCATCCTCAAACTGTGTCTCTTAGATTCTCTAGAGACAAGCCAATACTAACAAACTGAAATAACTGGAGCTACAGCAGAAAGTGGGTCAGGAGAAATGTCACTCAGGGTGGCCCTGAGTGACAGTTGTAGTTTTAGGCATTTGCCAGGAATGTTTGCACATGCTGCTCTCTCTCCTTATAAAGAGCGGATATAAAAGTGCTTTTGTGATATGAAGATCTCATAGTAACTTTGAGAGACTCACTCATACTGCAAAGGTATCTAGTTATACCTCTTAAAATAGCTAAAATTTCTCTAAGATTGTGTCAGTGTGGAAAGTCCTATTCTCCCATTCAAATTCTCTATTCAAGGTGACATTTACCGACTCTTAAGGGGAAAGAACGTGTGGGGGCTGAAGAACGGGGAGGCAGGCCATGTGTGGTGCAACCTCAGCCCCCCTGTCTTCCAGACGCTGTCCCTCCCAGTAGTGGTGATCGTTCACGGCAGCCAGGACAACAACGCCACAGCCACCGTGCTCTGGGACAACGCTTTTGCAGAGCCTGTGAGTGAATTCCTGGGGCTGTGGGTTTCAGGGTCTTGATGCTGGTGTCACCCCCTCCCCCAGATATAAGGAAAATGTTTTCTTTTCTAAAAGATTTTCATTTATGCATACAGAACTGGGGTACAAGCCAGAGGTGCGGGGGGTGAGAGGGCTCAATAGAGACAGAAAGGGGAGCAGAACAGGCAGATTGATGAAATACACCGCTGAGGGGAGCAGAGGGCTGGTCAGGAGAGGTCTGCCGCGCCATGCGGGTCACCTCCCTGGCTGGGATCAAACTCGTGCTGCAATTGCTGTGGACAGTTTCATAGTGCTGCGCTTTAACTGTTGCAGGCCCACCAGGGAGGGCCTGGAAAATGTTGTTTTCTTATTGGGAGGCAGAGTGGAGAGTGTGTGGAGATGGAAAGAACGTGGGCTTGACTTCAGGCTAAGTGTATGCGAATTCAAGCTCCTCCATTTCCTGCCTCTGACTCACTTTACCTCTCTGAGCTGAAGTCCCTAGTAAGTGCCTGCAGCACGGGACAGTGAAGCTGCGTAGCATTGTCGGGATGATTAACCTCCGTGACAGACAAAATGCTCATCACCTAGTCAGTTCTCACTAATTCCTTGGGAATCTCAGTGAAGGCACAAGTGGGATTTTGGGTTCTTGAGTTCTGTGTACATACTGGGCCTCTCAAGAGGTCACCATAGCATAGAGATTGATTCCTGTCATCTTCCAATAAATGGTTTTTTTGAGAGTGATTTTTCATGTCTTCCAAGTTTTAGATTCTGTGAGTGGTTTCAGAGGCTTTGTCTGAGGGAACAAATGTGACTTTGCAGATGTAAGTGCCCATAGCCCTCAGACACCACTGGCGGCTGCCTGAGGGCTGCTACAGCCTCAGCAGGCACAGAACTTGTGTTGCGAATCTCCAGCAGACATTAATCCATAAAAACACGACCATGTCATAGCCTGCTTCCAGCCCCTGGTATTTTCCTTTCACAGGCTAAGGGAATAAATCACCCAGCAGTTTCCTCACAGGGCCCCCCCCCTCTTCCCCCAGGGCCGGGTGCCCTTCGCCGTGCCCGACAAAGTGCTGTGGCCACAGCTGTGTGACGCGCTCAACATGAAGTTCAAGGCCGAGGTGCAGAGCAACCGGGGCCTGACCAAGGAGAACCTCGTGTTCCTGGCACAGAAACTCTTCAACAGCAGCAGCAGCCACCTGGAGGACTACAGCAGCATGTCCGTGTCCTGGTCCCAGTTCAACAGGGTGAGCGCCCGCCAGAGCCTGCCTGGGGCCACCTGTCCTGCCTCCTGTCCCCCCAACAGCAGGCCCCCAGCCGCCTTCTCCTACAACCGGAGAGATGGGGCCCCGTGCCCCGCAGGAGGGAGGCGGTGTGAAGGCGAGGGACTGGAGCTGGGGCTTGCAGCCCAGAACTGTTGACTAACTGGCTAGGCCCTTCCCTCTGCGCCACCGTTTCCCCACCTGTCAGATGAGAGGCTTGGGCAGGAGTGAGCTTCGAGGTGTCGCCCAGCTCAGAGGACTTCGCTCCTCCTACTCCCACCCTGCGGGATCTTCTCGGACCGCGTGTCTGAGACCCCAGGAGCTCTCAGCACCTACACGTGGGTTGGGCGGAACTCACGTACGGCCGGCTGGCGTGTGGGCCACGTCGCGTGGGGATCCGGGGGGCCAGCGAGGACTCGAGGGCACTGATCCTGTCCTGGGCCACCTGTGATAAGTGGCGCAAGCTGACTCGGGGCTCTCCGGGGGGCTTCCAGGAGAACCTGCCGGGCTGGAATTACACCTTCTGGCAATGGTTCGATGGGGTCATGGAGGTGCTGAAGAAGCATCATAAGCCCCACTGGAATGACGGGTGAGGAGTGGGGGGCACGGAGGTTGGGGGGTTGCTGTGGCTCAAGGTGGCTGCCGACGGGCGGTGACACGGTGCTCCGTGTACCCAGGGCCATCCTAGGTTTTGTGAATAAGCAACAGGCCCACGACCTGCTCATCAATAAGCCTGATGGGACCTTCTTGTTGCGCTTTAGCGACTCTGAAATTGGGGGCATCACCATCGCCTGGAAGTTTGACTCTCGTGAGTGGCCCCGCAGCCCTGCCCCCCACTTCCTTGCTCCCTATTGTCTGTCAGGCCTTTCCATGCATTCAGGATGTGGAAAGCGTTTGGTCAGAAGCACCTCCCCGTCCTCTCATTTTCCACTTGGGACATGTAACGTCCACGCTCTTCCGCCAATGCCCTGGCCTGGCCTCTGGTCACTGCCTCGCCCTGTGCCGAGGGGCATGGTGTGGGGTGCCCTAAAGCCCCACGCACCCTCTTGAGGTCAGTGGGAACGAGCTCTCCCTTTCACAGCCGACCGCAACCTGTGGAACCTGAAGCCGTTCACCACGCGGGACTTCTCCATCCGGTCCCTGGCTGACCGGCTGGGGGACCTCAGCTATCTCAACTACGTGTTCCCCGACCGGCCCAAGGACGAGGTCTTCTCCAAGTACTACACTCCTGTGCTCGGTGGGTCCTGCCCCGGAGCGCCCCGCCTCCTGGCCACAGGGGCAGGGACTCCCCATGAAGAGCTCAGGGCCGTTTCCCCTGGGGGTTTTGGTCCATGGGACCTTCACGGCGGGGGTTTTGGGACTGACAGTTGAGAAGAGGGAAAGCGAAAGCTTGACCCGTCTTTCTTCAAAACAAAACCTTAACTGGATTCTCACTTCTGTTCCCGTGGAGGAGGCTGCAGTGCTGAGGGAGGAGTCGGGGTGCTTCGAACCCACAGATAATGCACTCACCACGTCCCACCCTCAAACTTGCCCCCAAGTTGAATGCAGGACTGAGAAGGGGCAGACTTTTCCTCCTCACCCTGTTTCCAATCCGTCGGCTGGGTTTGCTCCTTGTTGATTCTGTCTCCTGGGCAGAGGTGAGGGCAGAGATGAGGAAAGGAAGGAGGAGGGATGAGAGTGATGCCAGAGGTCTGGACACCCTCGGGCTGGGTCCATCCACAGGTGGTTATTGGGATTCCCTGCAAAATCTGCCCCCTGAAGCCCCATGTCAGTGTGGGGAAGAGAGAGAGGGCCGTGGGCGGTGTCACCTGGGAGTTTCCAGAGAACTGGTTCTCACCACCTTTCCCCCTGGCAGCTAAAGGAATGGACGGGTACGTGAAGCCGCAGATCAAGCAAGTGGTCCCCGAGTAAGTGTCCAGGGCCAGCTCG